CTATCACAATCTGCAGTGCAGTAAGGTGACCCATGACTCACCCATCCCATGCAAACTAGTGGTATGTTTTCCTGGATAAGGCCGATGCTTCCATATCTCATGTCTGCCTAGTATTTTAAAACAATAATACCATTTTTCTCAATAGCTGAAGGGTAAGAAGAGGTCATACACACCATTACAGAGCCTAAAAGCCAGATATTAATTTTGAAAGACTGTAATAGCTTTGCGATCTGTGCAACAAAAAAAAAAAGCATCACCATCATTCCAAATGATGTCTTACATGCACTGGCTTGTCTGTAAAATGAATTTACCTTTTCATTACTATTTACTGACTGTGCTTGTATTTCATTTGTATGGATTTTTTTTTTTCCAGCAAATAGAGGAAAAAACAGCCTCAGAAAATCTAATATAAAGATGGAGACAGTGAACAATTATTGGAGTCTGTATCTCGACTTCTGAGGTCATATTTCTGCATTTTTTATTATGTTCATTACAAGGAAACACAAAGGAAAAAAATAAAGGAAAACATTCTGGATGGCAACAAATCAGAACTAGTAATGGCATGGACATTTTTCAGGAGCAGCAGTGCCAAAAAGCACAGCTGTGCTGAAACATTCATTCTTAGCACTATGCTTAAACAACCAGTTTATCATCCCAATCAATATTCAAAACCCCCAAGATTCCTTAGCAGCCTCCTAGTCCAACAGCATATGCTCAGGCATGGCTGGGTCAATACCTGTGTTTTGCAGCACGTACTGGCACACATCCACCTGCATAACTCCCAACCCAGAGCAATACAGCCCTGTAGTTCTCAATCACCAACCTGCAGTCAAGACAGAGACTAGAGCCCTTCAAAGCTCTTGCTGCTCATGAGACCTCATACAAATTTCTCTAACTTCAGGACTGGGCTCATTCACATTAGTGTGGGGAAAAAAAATTATATACCTATAGTAATATACATATACTAATGATATACATATATAATTAGTTCCATTTTATCCTTTCTTAAAGCAAAGCTATCTCAGTGAAATCTTGTCTGCAAGGAAGGCTGATTAGTGTGCAACACAAAACTGCACTGAAAAGAAAAATAATGGGACAGTACAGAGACTATGATGTGAAAACACCCTGGAGCTGCTCCTGGAGCTGCTCCTGGAGCATAAAATATAGCCCAATATTAGCAAGACACCAGCCTACAGTGTCCTGTATCAGTAAAGTAAATATAGCTTGTGGAATTCACCTTTCTTAAATGAAAATAGAAGGGTCTCCAATCAAGGACAGCATGTCCATTCAGATTTTAGCTGTAATGGTAAAACAGTTGCTCCAAAAATAGGACACAATAGCTTCTTGTCTCCATCGTCTAGCAATGCCACAATTGTACTTCCTACCTCTCCTAGAAAGAAGTAATTAGCCAGGCAGGAAGAGAATGTGTTTTTCCTCCCTTCTGTCTTTAATCTAATTCAAGTTGTACAGAAAGGAAGGCAAAGATCAGGAAAAAGAGATTGGGGACAGGTGGAAATAGAGATTTTACTATCCAGTTCGGCAGAGCCATCATGCTTAGGCTTTTCTCCAAGAATTTACTTGGTTTTTTGAGTTGTTTTCCACAGGAAATGCAATTTGCAACTTCATGGCAGCTGTGAAGCAGGCTCTGTGTCCCTAATAACTTTGCACTTGTCACTTGATTCAAATGTTTTAGAAAGGAAGCAAAGTTCTTTAAGATCAATACAGCTTACCAGTTTCATTAACACAGACGGGCAGCCCAAGGACAGATTTCATTCGTGCTTCCAAAGAAAGTAACAGAGACATTATACATGGGAATCTGCAGCCAAGCCACCTAGTAGTATTGCAACCCTGAACCCCAAGTTCAATTAGAGCCTGCAGGCTGAGCACACATCTATATAGAATCCAGAAGGAATTAGGCTACTTTAGCACTAGTACGGACAGAATCTTAGATTATCCAGCCATTACGTCACACCCAGCACCCTTCAAAAAGAAAAGTCAGGAACTAGCAACCTACTACTAGGGTGTTAAAACTAACACCTTGAGAAAAGTTTCATAGTTGACTTCTGTCTTCATCTTAGTTAAAAAATCTTAATGCATTTTCTGGCTCCTCCCTTAAATACCTCAGTACTGCTTAAAATCCGTTCCATTCCTCAAGGAAGAATTTGCAGGCTCAGTAAATCCTGGGGTGTACAACTCTTGAGAAGCACTAAGCAAAACAAAGAAGAGCAGGAATGCACTACCACATTTGCCCTCTTAGTGTTCATAGCCATCTACATTTATATCACCTATACGTCAGAAGCTTTTATCAATCTTTCAAGTAGTGGAGAGGACACAAGGAAAGTTTAAAACATAGTTTTGGTATTGGCTCAGGCTCTTGCTTTGAGGATTTTCAATGGTCTCCTTCACATCAACCATGCATTTTCTGTGACAGCCTGCATTTATTTAATGTTTGTTACATACAATCAAAGAGAAGCCAAGTAGAGGCAGAGCAACTTGAACACAACACAAACAACAGAACCCTTTGCAACACCTGCTGTGCACATACCAAAAATAGCAGCTAGATCTGAGAAACGCAAGAACTGGCATATCAGTTTGATTTTAACAGCATCTTTGAAAATGATTATCTATGCTTTTGTCCAAAGCCAGAGAAGAACATCCATGTTTTGCCACAGTTTGAAAGAAGAAATTCATTTCTGTAACTTGGTCTTCATACAAGTTGCAAGAAAAAAAAGAAAATGAGGTCTTAAATAAGAATTAATGCCCTAAGCTCTGAGCACTAGGAACTAAATCTTAATTTCAAACTGTGGATTTCTTGAGCTGCCTCTACTGATCCAAACCATTTCAGCACTTCCCAGACCTGTCAGGAAAAAAAAAAAAAAAAAAAAAGAAGAGGAAAACATTGTACAAAAAGCTTTCTGAAAATATAAGAAAGAAATGAGAGCAGCTTAACCCCGGCACTGAGCCAGGTGGCATCTTCTATTCATTGTCCCAGTGCTAGTACCATTTGGGTTTACACTGCTGCTCAAAACAAATAGTATCCTGAAATTAAGAGACTCATTTCCATACCACTCCAAGAATATGTATCTCCTTCCTAATTCATTACAGTCCAGAACCATCTATTAGCAGTCACTGTTGCTGACATAGCTGGCATTGAATATATTAAAAAAACAAAAACAAAAACCCCACAGAAACCCATATTTGCAGAGAGTGGTAGTAGTCTAGGAACACAACACAAAAAACTATTATATCTTGCCCAGATGGAGTCAAAGACCAAACAAGATAGTATCTAGCATAAAGAAAGGAGGTGAGTATATGGAGGTTTCTTAAACACTATCAGCTCGTTCATTCATCTACTTCTATAAGCATGCTGCAATTACAAAGTGATCAAGGAATGCTCTTTCTCATAGCCATACAGATGTATGCTCTTATTCAGTTGCTGTAATGCATACTGCTAATCTGTACTATTTGTTTGCTCCAAAGAAAGAAGGAAATGGTTTGTTTACCACTTTGCCCAGTAGCAGTTACCTGTGAGGCTCTGAAACTCAACTTTATAACACAACAGTCGATCCCATTTGGCTTGCTAGATATGACTGAAATATCATTTTGTTATATTTCTTATTAGCTTTTGATTCAGCAATTGCTTTCCTTTTAAAAGCCAGTTTTGCCTTAAGCAAGAACCAAATCAATCTTTGCTGCTTTCCCCAAATCTCAGAATCCCATGGCTGCAAATACTTGCATTTAACATGGCATCACCATGAGATTTCATTATCCACTATAGTTTGACTGCCAGCTATCAAATCCAGAAGCAGGAAATTGAGACATATCAGCCCACAAGTTGATTGTGAAGATGGTCTTATGAATCCTGCATTTACACCTTCATCTAATGCTACTTATTCCATCTACTGAAGAATGTAATACTGCATACATTTTAAGTTCTCTCTATATACACACTTTTATAGGAGGTAGAACATTTAAAATGCATCTGTTTTGCATGCCTGTGCAATGTTCTATGTGACGGAAAGTATAGCAATAACAGCAGGGTGGCAAAGTCTTTGGCTACACCAAATGAGCACAAGCCCAAACACAGCAGCTGTGAACACAGAAAAGAAAGAAAAAAAGCTTCTTACCTTTTGAGGGCCTCAGGTAGGCAGGGATCTCCAGCAAAATACCCTTGCCTCCACTGCCAACCCTTAAATGAGGTCTGGGAAGGGGTGAATCCTTACCCCACCCCTTCTGGTCATTCAGGTACATTGCACGCACCTGAGTTCCACAGGGCTGGCCCTGCCTTCCCACCAGGTGCTCAGTCACTGGTTCAAGCTGTGACTTAGCATTTCTGCTACAGTGTGTACGTGTACATTTGTGCATGTATACACACCTGTGCACGTTATTTAAAAGTTTTCCTTTCAGAAGGCTTCCTACTGACAATACAAGCTAGCAAATACAGCTCAGAGAAAGCATCCAGAAATTATGATAACCACATTCATTAACCCAAAGTTTGCGCAAGTTCATCTTAACAGGACTAATATAATAGTTCAAAATGGAACTAGGTTCAAATAAGGGAAAAGCCTTTGCTTGCATCTCACTTTTGTTACTTCTCTAACCTTCTCCATACAAATAGTTTGCTCTTATAAAGGTCTGTAATGCTAAACCTGAAAGTATTTATAAGGATGGTTTCTGATGTCTTCTTCTAAGGTCACATACCTCAAACAGGTTTCATGATTAGTTGTACAAAACAAACAAAAATATGACTGTGCCTATGTAACACTCAGACATTTATGTCTGTGTAAATTCATGTACCTAGAGATAATGGAAAATGTACCAGGAATGCTTATTTGTAAGACTATGTTGGAACAGTTTCAAATGCGATTTTCAGTTCTAGTACAGTAACTTTTTCTACTCTGTCTTATATTCAAAGTCTCTTTGCTACAGGAAAAGACATACAAAGTCAACTCACAGTTTGTTACAAATTTACAAACTCATTTTTTTTTCCAGTTAATTACCTTAATTACCTGAGTCTCCCTGACTTGACTTCAAGTTCAGCCTGCATGATGTCTCCTACTCTAGACAGCAGAAACACTACGCTAGTTTAAAGAGGGGAAAAAAAAAAAGGAAAAAGGTTAGAAAACAGGTAAGTGAGAGCTCAGCAATAACTGGTTCTTTATGTTACAGTGACTTAAGTTTCCATGTTACCAGGAAGTAAAACTGTTTTGCATAAATACCCATAGAAAAGAACATAAATGCCACACAACACTCATTAGAAATATAGAATTTATTAACTCTTTACATTAAGACAGCAACATATTGCAACTTCGAGTGTGCCACTTGTATCATAGATGACTTACAGATCCTCTGTACAGCTTACAGCTGTAGCTATTGCTAGCCCAGAAATGTTTAACTGAATTGGAGTGGCTCTTTAAATCTTTCAGTCATTAGCAGCAATTTTTGCAGAAGGGTAGTCCTGAAAATCCACTTCATGAAAATACATCTGTCAAAGCCTATGGTATCCAGCTGCATAATGAATCTTTATAGTTTGTAGTCCAAAGAAACCAACTTTGACAGCAGCAGTGGGCAGGGAGATTGAGGACTTGCCCCTTCCCTTCAGAAACAGTTTTCAATAAAGGCAATTCCATGTCATAAGGCCACCAAATTCCTCACTATCTTTGAACTGCACTTTTGACAAGGCAAACTCCTTTCCTATCCTTTGAGTTCTGCAGTCCTTACTCCCTTTTTCCCTTGCACATCCAGGTGCAAGCTAACAAAAGCAGTCAATATTACAGTTCTGATATCATCCTAAAACATTTAAGAAACCCACAACTAGAAAAGTCTGAGCAACAGAAAAAGAAAATTGTTTAAAGCTTCCAAGAACCACAAACAAGAATTATCTGCACAACCAGTGCCCTGACATTACTCAGTGTATTTCCCTTTATTCTTACAAGCTCAGAAGAAAGACAGCAGTTTTGTTTTGTTTTTTAACCCCTTTAGTCTTTTAACTCTTCGCATGTTCTGCAGGAGAATACAAGGACTTACAGTGCCTTATTGCACAAAAATTCAGAGGAACAAGGAAGTGAAAAGAGATAAGGAGACACTGCTGTTAGCAGGCTCTGCACCAGCCATACAGAGAATATGCATACGCAAAAGGGATTTTGTTGCTTTGTTTTTGTGTTAATTAAAAAAAAAAAGAAAAACACTATTCCTGCTAAGGCTGGTTGCACAATACTTGTTTTTAAGAACCACCTTTCAGTCTGACTCTGTTCCTGCAGACAGACTTCTTTGTGATCCATTTCTCACTAACATCTTGCTGTAGTTTTTCTGTTGTTCTTCCTTGAAACTATCTTTGACTTTTGCTCGTTTTAGACCTCCATCCCTGCAGAGAAAGAGCAAAGAGTAAGCCATCGTGTTTGCTGTTGAGTTTTTTTTTGTTTTAAATACGCTATCATCAAACTACACGTCACATCAACTGATGTGAGTCAACTCTAGTCTTAACATCCAACATCTCAGAGATTTTTCTGAACTTCTACACCCAGTTTTAATAGGTTTTTTTTCTTTGTTTCTCTAAACAGTACGTACCTTAAGCCTTAATGCACATGTTGTTCAACTGTAGAGCTCATTTATTAAAGCAGTCTGATCCAGTGCTGACAACCGGTTCCAACTAGGATACAAGTCTTTGCCCATCTGAGGGGCTATTTCCTATGGCCAGATGGCCTCATAGCTAAATCAGTTCACCCATTTTCTATAGATTTTTTTATTCATATACACGTATATGACTGTTACAATTACTCCCTTGTATTCTCCCAGGTAAAATGAAGTTAGATGCGTTTCTCAATCAAAAAACATTTAACAACTAACAGAAGCCTACAAGTTCAAGCAGTCCATACAGTCTTGCTAACGATGCAGTCACTTACCAGGGAAGTTCAGTCAGTCCCCCTTGGCGAGCAATGGCTGACCTTACTCGGTTGGCAAACTGAACAGCGTCTTCTCCATCCTTTGAGTGTTTTAAGTTGAATCAAAACAGAGAGAAGTAAATTCAACCTGACCTCCGTCACCATCATCTGCTCCATCATTAACTGTGTACCAAGTAATCCCACCCTCCTCATGCCAACATAACCTGAGGTTTCCATGAGATAAACATTTAGCTCATTTTTCTCCAGAATATTGAAGTTAAGGGAACTTGTGCTCCAAAAGCATGGATTAACAGAGAGGATAAGGTTTTAAGCTACAAATGTACCATTAACTGCAGCTTGCATTAGTAGCAACACTATCATATACAGCAGTATATTTACCACTATTCTTTGTATCTTTAGTACAGCAACGGTAGCATCAAGCTGCATTCTACATTCAGCAGAGATTCTCCCAGTATTTCAATACATCTGGAAAAGCTAAGTCTAATCATTTATTAAACTAACCACCAATAAAAGCACTGCATAAAACAGATTTGGAGACATGGAGTGGACAGGGGTTTTGGAGAAGAGTGCAAAGAGACACTTGCAAACAGTGATGATCTTACCTTTCTAACCATTGGTGGCATGTACCACACGTGGCAAACAATGGCCCAGCTGGTCATTATTCGCAGCAGGTAGCTGATAATGTTGTGTTTGCTGCTGTTCCAGAACGCATCTCCAAACTGAGGATCATACTGCAAGGGATCACAGGAAAAATAAAAATGAAAACACTCTTTCCCTCACAGATCACTACAGTTTGTCTTAAGCACAAGGTGGGTGCTTTCAGCCACAGGCCAGGCTCATTCCAGTCACTTGCAAGCCAGGAATCAACCACAGCAAGTGGCCAGTTGTCACTGCTACTGCGCTTTTCATTAGCAGCTCTGAGACAGCTTCCCATCACCCTGACAAAAACAGACCCCAAATCATTTTCAAGTTGAGCAGCCAGACACTTCCTCATACCTTGATTGCAACAGGATAGATTGTCCCTCCTATTTCAAAGCTGCCCTTCTTGAACATCATTACGGATGTATTGTTTATACAGGTGCCTGTCCAGAAGATAAAGTTAGTATTTCACAAAGCCTAGCACATTTCAGTAGCAACAGCAAGGAGGAGTAAAGGCAGGCCCTTATGGGGAAGTTAAGCACCTCTCCACACTCGCTTTTCTTCCTTTTCTTGTGATTGATTTGCTGAATAAAGCCACGGCGTGTGTGAGAGAAAAAAGTCAAGGCTAAGGTTAGATCAGTAGCACTGTGAATAAACATTCATGGGGCAAAATAAACTGTCTTCTCATTCTTTGGCCAGGACACCCAACAAGCAGGGCAGTATTGCATTGCCTTAGGGTAATTTTACATGAAAGATGAATAAAATAAGAAAGCTAACCCAGAGGTGAGAATTCATTTGGGCACCACAAATCACAAGAAAAGAACAGACATGAACGTATGCTCAACAGAGGGAAAAAAAGAACAGTTCAACTTCTTACCTTCTGGGAAAATTAAGATTGGAAGCTTGTTCTTATCTGCCACATGTTCCCTGAGTCTGTGGAAGCAAAAGGTAAAGTTAAAACAGCTGTTCTTCCACATTTCTTTCCCCAGGCAGATGCATCAGATTACCAAACACACTGTAAGAAACCAAAACTGCTTAATGGACACAAATCTGTACTTTCCATTCTTTTGCAACAAATCTGAAACACTGTACAATGAGTCCTTCATTACCACATACAAATTGTTCCAATTAGTTTTACACTGAAGCAACGCTTTGCCTGTATGTTACTTTATAAATGGTTGTCAGGAAAGCCAAGCAACCTATGCCATTAGGTCATGCCAATTAACTCCAAACAAACTCAGTTTACAAGTGGCTTACAGCAGGAAAAAACCTGCCACACTTGTTGGAAGATCTTTTTCAGCCAGATACTTCCCCACACACTCCACCTCCACATCAGCAAGCAAAGACTATCATGTCTAACACCTCCCTTCTTGAATTAAGCCTAGACAGATCCTGTTATAGAAAGTCCACTTTATATGCAGAATTCAAGTCAATTTAATTTAGATATAGATATTGGGACTTTAACAGCAAAGTAGCTGTTAGGATGATAATTTCCCAGATCTGATATTCTGTGGTTGTCCCTTGCAGTTCAGATCTTACTAGAACCTTTGTATCTGAACCGTTTCATTCTTTCAAGCACTTCTCTGTGACTCAATAGCCATTCATTTTGACCACTGTACCAAAGCCCACTCAAACAAGCACTTTCAGGTCATTCTGAATAAACCTGATCAGTGGGCACCATCTCTTCAACCCACTACAAGAACAACACTCTGTTTCATGCCAGCTTACAGTAAGTTGCAATAACAGTTTACTAGCGTCCCTATGATTGGGGTTTATAATCAGCAGTGCCCATGTGGAATAAAGGCAACTGCACATGCCAAAAGATGACACTTCTGCAAATCAACCTTTTGAACTTTCAGGATCTTCAGGTCGTACAATTTCCCCATTTCCCACTGCAACCTCACTGCCTGTTTGCACTTCTGTCTTTCCACAAGCATGTCTCCTGATATGGGTCTCTTCAAAGCTTACTTCATAAATTGGGATCTTCAATTGTAGAATGACTGTTCAGAGGTGTTCTTTCAATCACTAGAACGTACCAGAGTCACACGAGTAGCACAATTTCCCATTCCAGCTCACACCTCACCTTTTTGTCACTAGATGGCGGTCTTTAATTTCCGAGCGCTCAAACCAAACATGAGGACAGGCCTTCACGGTGGCTCTTTGAATAACTCCCATCAATCCACCATGAACCTGGCCAACCTGCAGGCCCAGTGAAACACATCAGCAAACAAGACCTTCAGAAAAGAATAGTTTTCTCTCCTGCATCCCAGCAGATTAGGTCATACTGTAAATCACATCTCAGGATTGAGTAGTGTGCACAGAAGTTATTAAAGCACATTCACTTGAAAGGATCTACAAGCATGCAAGAAAGCCTCTGAAGTATTTCAAACAGAGCCTGAATTGACATTCCCAGAGCAATTTCATCAACGTGAAACTTGAAGTCAGACTTCACCATACTTTATGTTTTTCCCCAGTGACTCA